GTCTTTTTGAGTCTGGTTTATTTCACTTACCACAATGTTTTCAAGGTTCATCTATGTCATAGTGTCAACCAGAACCTCATTCCTTTTTATGGCTGAACAAGATGACATTGTGTGTAAATACCATATTTTGCTTATCCATCGTCTGTGATGGGGTACTGGGGTTGTTACCATCTTTTGTGTATTGTGAATAATACTGCTGTGAAATTGGCACAAATATCTGAGCCCCTATTTCCAATTCTTTTGGGTATGTAGGAGTTGCAATGCTGGGTCATATGGTTATTCTACATTTAGCTTTTAGACGAACTGTGTAATGGTTTTTCCACGGTGCTTCCTCATTTGTATAAACTTTAGAGTCAGATTGTCAAATAAAGTTTCTGTTGGGATTTTTTGTCACTGTATTCAAATCTTCAGATCTTTCGAGGGTGATAGACATGTTATGAAATTGAGTATTCTTCTCCAGTTATACAGTATATCTATTTAGGAGGGTTTTTAAAAATGTCTTTTGATAAAATTTTTATAGTGTCTTCATAGGAATCTTGTACATCTTTTGTTGTATTCTTAGTTTCTTTATATTTTTTAATTTCTATTGCTAATTTTTTACAAACTAAATTTCCTGATTGTTGCTGGTGTTCTGAAATACAATTTTTGAATACTTTTGTTTCTTTTCCTCCTACTTTTTATTTTTCTTTTCTTTACTGCATTGGTGGACCCAAAGTACAATGTTAAATAGAAGCCTTTTTTTTGGTCTTGTTCCTAATCTTAGAAGGACAGTTTTCGACTATTAACCATTAAGTTTGATGTTTGCTTTGGTTTTCGTTTATTTGTTTGTAGATAACTTTTTTCAACTTGAGGAAGTTTTCTTCTATCTGATTTTCAGTGAATGGCTGTTGAACTTTGGAGAGTGATTTTTCTGCATCAGATTGAGACAATCATATTTTTTCTCCTTTAATCTCTTAATGGGATAATTTATACTATTATATAAATATTAACCAATGATGCATTTTCTAGGTTAAATGCAAGTTAGTATAATAGGTTATCTGTTTTATACATTACTGGATCCTGTTTGCTAATTCTTGGGAGGGGCATTTTTACATCTGTGTTTATAAATGGATTGGGTATTGTTCTTTCTTTTATATTCTGAAGTGGTTTTTGTAAGATTGAATTAATTGTTCTTTGAATGTTTGGAAGACCACATCTGTAAAGCCATCTGGACCTTTGTAGAGGAGGTTTTAAATCTCTGATTCAATCTTTTTAAAGCTATGGATTGTTAAGATTTTCCATTTTTTCTGATGTCAAGTTTGGTAAGGTTCCCTCACCCCACCTCCAACCTCTATCCATTTCCTTTAGGTTTAAAAATTTAATGGCATAAACTAAAGTTGTTCATAATACCCTCTATTTAATCTCTGTAGTAGCTATAGGTATGTCCCTTTTTTCATCCCTAAATTTATTTAGTAGGTCCTTCCTTTCTTTCCTTTTTTGAATAATTTTGCCAGAGGTTTACCAGCCTTCTGAAACAACAGCTTTTGGTTTACTTAATCTTCTCTGTTGTATTTTTTTATTTCATTAATGTTTGCTTTTTATTGCCTCCTGCTTTTTTTAAATGTTTATTTATTCTGAGAGAGAGAGGCAGAGAGAGAGAGAGAGAGAGAGAGAGAGAGAGAATCCAAGCAGGCTCCACCCTGTCAGCGCAGAGCTGATGCGAGGCTCTATCCCACAAACACGTGAGATCATGACCTGAGCTGAAATCAAGAGTTGGTTGCTCAGCTGATGGAACCACCCAGGCGCCCCTTTCCTCCTACTTTCTATGGGTTTATTATGCTATAATTTCTTGAACTTCTGAAGTTGGATGCTTAATTCATTTTCTTTTGAGACTTTTAAATTCTTTAAGTGTGTTAGACTATATATTTTCTTGTAAGTACCTCTTTAGCTCTCCTCCTCCTTTTGATAAGCAGTATGTTGTTATTTTACAGTCTTAATATTTTATACTTTTCACTATCATTTCTTATTTGGCCCATAAGTTGTTTGGGAAAATATTTTAAATTTCTGTGCTATTTTTGTAATTAGGTTTCTGTTACTAATTTCTAACTTAATTGTGTCATACAGTGTAATCTATGTCTATCTGTTGCCAGTCCTTTCAAATATGTTGAGACTTGCTTTAAGGACTAGCATATGACAAGTTTTCATAAATATACCATTAGGTCTTAAAAATATATATATATTCTAATTATCAGGTAAAGTGTTTTATTTATGTCTATTTTATCAGTCTGCTGATTGTGTTGTTCAAAGCTCCTTTATCTTTTTTATTATTTTATTTCCTGTTCCATCAGTTACTATAACAGGTCTTTAAAACTCATACTCTGACTATAGATTTGTTAATTTCTCCCTGTGATCCTGTCAGTTTTTACTTTAATGTATTTTAGGCTGCCTCTTTATATGTATATGAACTTAGAATTATTATATCTTTCTGGATAATTGAACATTTTATTATTTTGTAGTGATCCTCTTTATCTGTAGTAATATTACTTTCCTTAAAATGTATTTTCTCAGTACATCTATACCAATTTTCTTTTGGTTAGTATTTGCATGGCATACCTTTTTCTACCTTCTCATGGAAACTTTGTATATATCTTTATATTTTAGATGTGTGTCTTACAACCTGAAAATAGCTGGATCTTGTTTTTGTCTAGTCTAACATTTTGTATATTTTATCTGAAGAGTTTAGCCTATTTTCACTTAATGTGATTCTGATATACTATTTTCATCAAATGTGTTTATGTGTTTTATTTTCCCCACCTCTCTCTTTTCCTCCTGCTTCTTAACTTTTTCATTTTGAGGATTGTTTAAGGAGTTTTTCGTTCTCTTTCCCTTTTTTTTTTTTTTTTTTTTTTTTTTTTTTTTTTTTTTTTTTTTTTTTTTTTTTTTTTTTTGGTCTTTGCTTGTGTAGAAATTATATGATTTATTTCTAACCATGTGGGAACTACTCTCTTTCAACATGAATACTCCACAAAGTTCAGAGTTAATAGTTTTCCTTCTTCCCAGAGAGTTCAGTTACTTGAGAAGGTTTGTTTTTTTTTTTTTAAATTTTTTTTTTTTCAACGTTTATTTATTTTTGGGACAGAGAGAGACAGAGCATGAACGGGGGAGGGGCAGAGAGAGAGGGAGACACAGAATCGGAAACAGGCTCCAGGCTCTGAGCCATCAGCCCAGAGCCCGACGCGGGGCTCGAACTCACGGACCGCGAGATCGTGACCTGGCTGAAGTCGGACGCTTAACCGACTGCGCCACCCAGGCGCCCCTAGAAGGTTTTAAGTCCAGTCACCCTTTTCCCTAGGTAGTCCTTTCCTGTTTCCCTCTCCTTAAGCATAAAAAAAAGTTTAGCCCATTTTTGTGGGTTTAAATTTACCCATACATTTACTAGTATCTCATCATACTATTTCTTATGACATTTCAGATCTTTAATTGCATATCATTTTTCTTTTGCTTGAAATAGCTGTTAGAATTTCTTTTCTTAGGGTGCTTAGGTGGCACAGTCAGTTGAGTATCTGACTCTTGGTTTCAGCTCAGGTCATGATCTCATGGTTTGTGAGTTCGAGCCCCTTACTGGGCTCTGCACTGATGGTGTGGAGCCTGCTTGGGATTCTCTCTCCTCCTCTCTGAGCCTTCTTGTGCTCTCCCTCTCTCTCTTGCAAAATAAAAAAACTTAAGGAAAATTTTTTAAATTTCTTTTATTTTTTTTAAGTAGGCTCCACACCTACTGTGGGGCTTGAACTCACTGCTCTGGGATTAAGACTCTGGTGCTCTAGGGGCGCCTGGGTGGCTCAGTCGGTTAAGCGGCCGACTTGGGCTCAGGTCATGCTTTCGCCCATGAGTTCAAGCCCTGCGTCGGGCTCTGTGCCGACAGCTCAGAGCCTGGAGCCTGTTTCAGATTCTGTGTCTCCCTCTCTCTTACCCTCCCCTGTTCATGCTCTGTCTCTCTCTGTCTCAAAAATAAATAAATGTTAAAAAAAAAATTTTTTTTTAAAAAGAGTCTGGTGCTCTGGGCACCTGAGTGGCTCTGTCAGTTAAGCGTCAGACTTGGCTTAGGTCGTGATCTCATGGTTTATTAGTTCAAGCCCTGTATCTGGCTCTACAGAGCCTGCTTGGGATTCTTTCTCTCTTCCAATCTCTCTGCCCCTCCCCTATTCTCTCTCTCTCTCTCTCTCAAAATAAATAAACTAAAAAAAAAAAAAAAAAAGTTGGATGCTCTACTGACTGAGCCAACCAGGCGCCCCTAGAATTTCTTTAAATGAGGGTCAGTTATTGGCCAGCTGTCTCAACTTATGTTTGTCTGAAAATTTCTTTATTTTACCTTGGTTCTTAAAACATATTTTCACTGGGTGTAGAATTCTAGGTTGACAGTTACTTTCATTAAAAATATTGGCTATACTTAGTCTTGGTTGTTAATGGGAATTCAGTCATTAATTGCCATTTTGTTTGAAGGTGGTTTGTTTTTTATCTGGCTCTTGTTAAGAAAATATGTTTTTCTTTGATATTCTGCAGTTTTACTGTGATGTATCATGGTATGGATTTCTATTTATCCTGCTTGCAACTTGTTAGGACTTCCTAGATCTCAAGGATTGATGATGTTCAACGATTTTGTAAAATTCCCAGCCTTTGTCTCTTCAAATATTGCCTCTTATTCTCTCTATTACATGCTAATGAAATTCTGGTTAGACTTAGTTCTTCTCTCTCTTTTTCCATGTCTGTTTTTAAAAAAATATATTCCATCTCTCTGGGTCATATTTCTGGATAAATCAGTTAACAAATTCTCTTTTTTAGGGTCATCTTCACAGAGCAATTTTAGTGAAAAGATGGGCTCAGAAGCCAGATTAATCTGGATTGATGAGAGAATGTGAGGTGAAACAGGAGGGACATTCACTGTAGTTAACATGGAAGTTTTATTGTGGAGGGAGCCAAGAAATAGGAGATGGGGTTAAGGGAGAGTTTGTTTGTTTTTAAAGATGAGGGATATCAAGGCATGTTTGGACATCAATAGGAATGATCTGGTAGAGAAGGAAAACTTAATGATGTAGAAAAGAGGGGATAATTTAGGAATGCAATCTCTGAGAAAATGAGAGGGAACGAAGTCCAAGTTTTTCACTTCTGTGATTCATTTGTGTTTTTGCACCACCCCATTTAAAGATTAGTGAAAGGGATATATTTTTAGGTTTACTTATTTTTTGAGAGAGAAAGAGTGTGAGCAAGGGAGGGGGAGAGAGAGGGGGAGAGAGAGATATTCCCAAACAGGTTCTGTACTGGCAGTGCAGGGCTTGACTCATGAACTGTGAGAACATGCCCTAAACCGGAATCAAGAATCGGACATTTAACTAATTGAGCCACCCAGGTGCCCTCAAAGAGATTTTTTTTTTCAATCAGGCTAAGGTGAGTCTGTAGTCAGTTTAACAAGTATTATTCACTTATCCATTCACTCCTCAATCAACAAACATTACATTTGCCTTTTATGTGCGAGGTACTGTGCTCCACTCTCAGAACAGAATTATAACAAGATAAACATGGCCCATGCACTCACGCTCATGAAGCTTATAGGTTAGTGGTAGTGGTTGGTGGGTGTGATACAAAGGACTTGGAAGTGAAGTACAGTACTGCAGGAGAGCAATTAATTGGGACCTTAATCCCGTAACCTTATTCTGGGAGATTAGAGAAGCAACATTTAAACTGATTTCCAAAGAATGAGCAGCTATCCAGGCAAATTCCAGAAGAGCATTCCAAGAAGAAAGATGAGCACAGATGAAGGCCCTGTTGAAGCAAGGAATTTGCAGAGATTTAGGAACTGAAAGAAGACTAGAGCATAGTGAGTAAAAGGCAAGATAACCTTTGGAGGGACAGCATGTGCCATATAATGCAGAATCATAGAAATTTTAGACAATCCTGCGAGCAATGGGAAAGCATTGAGGGACTTAAGGAGAATAGTGACAATCTATTTTCATACTGTTTCTGTTGTAAAGGTGTATACATGAGGCTACTGGACCCTGATGCCATTAAATCTTAGGATCATACAGTTACCACACTCCTTACAATTATTTGTTTACTTATCTATCTAATAGGGCTTCCACAGCCAGACATGAGTGAAAGTTTCCTTGGAATTAATACAATGGTTTTCTTCTTTGTGCATGTGAGAGTGTGTGTGTGTGTGTGTGTGTGTGTGTGTGTGTGTGTGTGTGTGAGGTAGGGGGAGGAAGGGGAGAGAGAGAAAGGTGGTGGCAGGGGTCAGATACTTGGTAGTCAAGATACTTTTTTTTTTTTTTTTAATTTAACAAGCCAATGAGAAAACTAACCAACTCTTTTTTAGCATGTTAATAATTTACTCATCATACAGTCTTAGAAATTCTTAAACTGCTATCTTTTAAACTAGTTATTTTTGAATTATTTTACAGACTAATAAGTTATGGTGGATTTATGTAAGAATTTGTTTTAATCCCTAAATTTTTACACTTAAAATAAGTAAGATTTCTCTATTCTTATTTCACTTTTCATCACAAATGTCAGAATGTACTATTCTGTTGATGTTATCTGCTTCTTTAGAGGTTATTTGGATTCTGAGTTGTCATCTTGACTAAATTTATCTTGCTCCTTAGATTCTATATTTAATGAACACCTAACACTATGCCTTGCACATAGTAGGCACTCAAAAAATACGCTCAGTAAATCAAAATATCTGATAGAGTCATCTTAATTATAGGTTATAAAAGTTTACTTCCTTATTTCCTTCCTTTCATCCAAAATATATTGCCCTCTTTTGATATTCCTCTTCTTCCTGACTTGGTAGTCTTCAGTATTCTGCTCTGAATGTTATTATTTTGCCATTTTCCCTTACTCCAAATCCCTTTTTAAGGTTTAATTGCCCTGAGTCTTTTTCTTGAGACTCATATACTTGCTATTTTGTATTCTAAACCTTTCTTGTTTGCCCACTTTCTCTTAGAAAATGTCTTTTTTTCTCCTTTTTTTTGACCTATCTTAGTTTAAATTAAAGAAACCCTCTCGGAGCCTGTTTATGATTTTGTGTCTTGCAGCATTTTAATCACAGATTTCCCATCGTGAGGAACCATTTAATTGTTACTGTGTAATTGATAAACATAATTTTATGTATTCTGTTTTTAGTCAATTGAAGACAATGAAGTATATTTGCCTAATGATGAAATTTGGACCTATGATATTGATAGTGGGTTGTGGTAAGTAATTTCAAATTGCAGAATGTCCAATCTTAAAATCTGATTTAAATATTTTCATAGACTACAGGGAATTTAAGACCAAACTTAGAACATACTGCAACATTTAGCATGACCCTTTCCTTTTCTTTGAATGCTTTATTCTCTCTGGCTCTTTCTTTCCCCTACTCCCTTCCTCTCTCTGCTCGTTCTTCATTGTTTACCATTCCTCTCAAGGTTCAGGCAACCCCAGAAGACTTTGCTTTGTTGTACCAGTTAATTCCCAATTCTAGTGCCACCTGAAGATTTTGCGATTTTTTTCCCCAGTAGGTTGAAAAATCTTTACCATGGATTAGAGTTTTTACCGTATTGGCTACCATTGCATTTCAATTACAGTTGTCAATGGCAATTTTCACTGAAAGAGTACTCATGGAGTTCAAAGGGAATTTTAATTTGCCTTTCTAGAAAGTCATGGAATTCCATGTTATTCTTGCTGCAGGACCATGCACCTCATGGAAGGAGAACTCCCTACCTCCATGTCAGGAAGTTGTGGTGTTTGCATTAATGGAAAGCTGTACGTTTTTGGAGGATATGATGACAAAGGATACAGCAATCGAGTAATATTTTCTTTCAATTCAGGAGTGCAGCAAAATGTAATATTCAGTGTATCACTTAATCTCGCGTACAAATATTTAAAGGAGAAGATATATGTAGAAAATATTAAGCTTACAAGGTTTTAAAAATAGAGTGAAAATGCAGCCATTGTGTTCGTCTCTTCCATGTCTTTCTGCTTCAGAGTTCACTCCCTGCTTAGTTCGTGTCTATAGGGCAGAGCATGATGAGAAAAGATCCATTTCAGTATGTTTTATATGTCATTTTTGCTTCTAAAACACAGCTTTCTTTTTTATTAACTTTACAATGAAAAATTTTACCTTGCAAAAAGAAAAAAAAAGTTATATTATTAAGTTTTGGATCACATATCCCTCAGACACAGACTTGATTTTTAAATGCCCTGTCTGCTAATGGTGTTCTTCTCTTTTAAAAGCTTTATTTTGTTAATTTGCGAACAAGAGATGGAACCTACGTTTGGGAAAAAATCACCAATTTTGAAGGACAACCACCCACACCACGTGATAAACTTTCTTGCTGGGTATATAAAGACAGGTAATACGGCAGAATCATCTCATTAAGTACACTTTAGCAAGGGTGGTGGCTGAAATAGAGAAAACTTGAAAGTCTGAATTTTTTCTAGATGTAATTACAAACTCGTTTTGACTCTGTTGGTAATGGCAGTTCTGCATCCTGGGTAAGAGCCATGTCATAAAAATAAGCATTGTGGATGCAACTATTTTTTGTAATAAATTTATTATTTAATTAAAATTTCTAAATAGTTAACACATTCACATGGTTCAAAACTCAAGACCATATTAAAAAGTCTACAGTGAAAGGTCTGGCTCCCACCCCTGTCCCTATCCACTCTGTTCCCCCCCACCATGCACAAATAGCTGCTTCAATTAATATCTTTTGTATTCTTACATCAGTGGTTCTCAAACTTGTCTGCAATTGTAATCACCTGGGGATTTTTTTTTTTTAATTTCAAAGCCCAGGTGATATTTTACACTAATTAAATGATCATCTCTAGGGTTATGATGTCTTGAAACTCCTCAGGTGATTCCAAGATGCAGACAGGTTTGGAAGCCACTGCCATCAGTGTTACTTTATGCAAATAGAAGCAAATACGTAGGAGTGTGTGCACGTATTCCTTTTTTCTCTCTCTTCCTTACACAAATAGCAGTGTATTCTGTACACTCTTGTGCACCCTGCTGCTTCCATTAGTTAGCAGTGTACCATGGAGATCTTTCATCTTTCTGAATCCCTAGTTGGAAAGCTGATTTTCTTCCTCCCTCCCTTTTTTCTTCCTTCCTTCCTTTTTTTCTTTCGTAGCTGCATAGCGTTCCCCTTTGAGGACATACCATGGTTTATATAACCTTTCCCCTGAAAATGAAATACCACTTAGATTATTTCTGTTCCTTTACTGTTACAAATTATGCTTTGATGAATTTAAATGAAATATATCCATTGGATAAAATTAGATTGCCTTTATAATTCTGACAAATGTTTAGTTTGCCAAAGCTGTTTTAACAAAGTACCATAAACTAAGGGGCTTAAACAACAGAAATGTGCTTTCTCATGTTTCTAGAAACTGGAAGTACGAGATCAAAGGGTCAGCACGATTGGTTCCTTCTCTAGGTTTTGAGAAAAAATTTATTCCATGCCTCTCCCCTAACTTATGGTGATTTGCTGGCAAACTTAAAAAAAAATTTTTTTTAATGTTTTATTTATTTTTGAGTGACAGAGATGGAGTGTGAGCAGGGGAGGGGCAGAGAAAGAGGGAGACACAGAATCCATGAAGCAGATTCCAGGCTCTGAGCTGTCAGCCCAGAGACGATGCAAGCCTTGAAACTGTGAACCACAAGATCATGACCTGAGCTGAAGTTGGAGGCTTAACCAACTGAGCCACCCAGGCGCCCCATTTCTGCTGGCAATCTTTGATGTTCTTGGGCATGTAGAGACATCACTCTGATCTCTGCTTTCATGTTCACATAGGATTCTCTCTATCTATTCTGATCTGTCTCCAGATTTTCCCTTTCTATAGACACCAGTCATGCTGGGTTAGGGCCTTCCCTAATGACCTCATTTTGACTTGATTGCCTCTGTAAAGAACCTATCTCCAAATAAGGTCATATTCTGAGATACAGGGGCAGGGGGCAGGCATTAGGACTTGAACATGAATTTTGGAAGAACACAATGAAACACATAGCAATAGATTTTGCCAATTTTTCCTCCATATAAGTGGGGCCATTTTGCATTCTCAACAATGGAATGCTTATTTCTCCGTAGTCTTGCCAAGAGTTTGTTAGCAAACTCAGATTGTTTGTTTGTTTGTTTGCCGTACTGATAGATGAGAAATGTCTCAGTCTTATTTTCATTTTCACTGAAACAATTTTTGTGAGTTTGAATGTATTTTCATATATTTAAGGGAAATTTTGATTTCTTTTTCTCTGAACTATTTGTGTCCTTTGCTAATTATTTTCTATTTGAGTTTTGCTTTTATAAACTCAGTTTCTAGGAGTTATTTATGTATTAAGGAAATTAGTGTTTGACTATGATATGATATGGTATGAATATATTTTTTCCAATTTGTCATTTGTCTTTTGAGTTTGCTTATTACTATGTGTTCTACATGCATTAAGCAGATTTTTAAAACTTATTTAGATAAATTTATCAATAATTTCTTTTTTTACCAATAATTTCTTTTATGGCTTGTTGATCTTGAATCTTGATTGCAAAGTTATACATTAATTCACCAATGTATTTTTCTCTAGTACTTTTGTCATTTTATTTTTTACATTTGAATTGTTGATTCATTTGGGGATTATTCTGAGAATGGTATGAGATATGGATCCAGGTTTATCTTTTTCTGAATGGCTACCTGTCTGTAACTCAGTTATTTCAGATGCTACCTTTATCATGTATTTACCTAATTTTCATTGGTATTTGGATCTGAGTTTTCTATTCTGTTCCATTGATCTGTTAATATATAAATACTTCACTAGTTTAGATATTGAAGCTCTACAGAGCATTCTTATAGGACTATTATAAATCATAAGTGTATACCTTAAGTAGTTATCACAAAATGACATACTTATGTAACCACCACTCAAGTAAAGAAAGAACATCATCAACACTGTAGAATCCTTCATTATGTCCACTCCTAATGAGTATGCTCAGCCCCCTTCCTAAAGGAAACCATTATCCTGACTTCTGGTATCCTATATTAGTTATTATTTTTTATATTTTATGTATTTTTGTTTTTTTATGTTGTATATGGCATCCTATAGAATTTATACTTTAACCAAAATTATAGTTTTGAGATTCATTCATGATGTTGTATGTAGCTATGGTTTGTTTTCTTTCCTGTATGTTATTATATTAAATGAAATACTGCAATGTATTTATTCATTCTGTTGTTGATAGACATTTGGGTCATTTCTATTTTTTGACTCTTCGGAATAATATAGCCATGAGCATTCTTCTATGTATTTTGGTACATAAGCGTTAACATTTCTGTTGGGCATGTATCTCTTTATTCTCTCAATGGTATAATCTGATTTCAATATAGTCTAATTTATCATTTTTTTCCCTCATGGTTAGTGCTTTTGTGTCCTAGACTTAATTGATCCTAACCTTACAAAGTATGTTTTGGTCCTTTGAAGTTTTTCTTGTTCACATATACAAGGAACTGGTAACAGTGGTTGCCCCAGGCAGGGAAATTGAGTGACTGAGAGTAGGAGAGGGACTTACTTTTTACTACACCTTTTTAAAAAGTCATGATAAAATACATGTAACATAAAATTTGCCATTTTAACCATACGTAAGCGTCCAGTGCAGTGGACAATTACATTCACAGGATTGTACAACCATCACCAGTACATAAAACCTTGGATTGCCAGTAATGTGTTCTGCAACACAAACACACGTTTCTAATAATTAAAAAAAAAAATTTTTTTAATGTTCATTGATTTTTGAGAGAGAGAGAGAAAGAGAGAGAGAGAGAGCACGTTGGGGAGGGGCAGAGAGAGAGGGAGACACAGAATCTGAAGCAGGCTCCAGGCTCTGAGCTGCCAGCACAGAGCCCAATGCAGGGCTCGAATTCACGAACTGCGAAATCATGACCTGAGCCAAAGTCGGACGCTTGACTGACTGAGCCACCCAGGTGCCCCTCTAATAAATTTTAACTTGATAAACAAGCAGTGTCTTGCAATACGAGTAGTACATGATGGCGATTGTCCCATGATCACAACTAAGCCAATGGTTCTTGAAATTTGCTTTGATATACAAGTGCTTTGGATTACAAGCATGTTTCTGGAATGAATTATGCTGTCAAACCAAGGTTTTCTGTATTTAGTTAAAAAATTTATCATCACTCCAAACAGAGACTCTGTAGACATTAAGCAATACCTCCCCGTTCCCTTTTCGCCCCAACTTCTGGTAACCTCTAATCTACTTTCTACCTGCATGAATTTGCCTGTTACAGATATTTCATGGAAGTAGAATCATTCAATATTTGTTTTTTAGTGTCTGGCTTATTTCACTTAAAATGTTTTCAAAGTTCACTATGTTGTGTGTATCGGGGCTTCTTCCTTTTTAAGGCTGAATAACATTCCATTGTATGCCCTGTTACATATTTGTTTATCTGTTCATCTGTTGATGAACATTTGTTTCCACCTTTTGGTTATTGTGAATAATGCTGCTGTGAACATTGGCTTACAAGTATTGTTTGAGTCCCTGTTTTCAATTCTAACAGAATTTTCAGGTCATATGGTAATTCTATGTTTAATTTTTTGAGGAAGCACCAAACTGTTTTTTACAGTGACTATGCCATTTTATATTCCCACTGGCATTGTACATGGGTTCTAACTTCTCCATATCCTTGCCAACACTTGCCATTTCTTCCTTTATTTCTTTTTTCTTTTTCTTCTTCTTTTTAAAAAATAATAGGCAGGGGTACCTGGGTGTCTCAGTTGGTTAAGCATCTGTCTTCAGCTCAGGTCATGATATCACGGTTTGTGGGTTTCAGCCCCGCATCGGGCTCTTTGCTGACAGCTCAGACCTGGAGCCTGCTTTAGATTCTGTGTCTCCTTCTCTCGCTGCCCCTTCCCTGCTCATGTTCTGTCTGTCTGTCTCTCTCTCAAAAAATAAAATAAAAATTAAAAATAATAGGCATCATAGTGGGTGTGAAGTAGTGTTCATTGTGGTTTTAATTTGTATTTCCCCAGAGACTAATGATGTTGACCATTTTTCATATGCCCGTTGGCCATTTGTAGATCTTCTTTGGAGAAATGTCCACTCAAGCCCTTTGCTCATTTTTAAAAATTGGGTTGTCTTTTTGTTGTTGAGTTATAGGAGTTCTTTACTTATTCTGGATATTAATCTCTTATTGGATATATGTAGTTTTCTTTTGTTGTAATGTTTTTGGCTGGCTTGCCTCATAGAATGAGTTAGGAAATGTTCTTTCCTCTTCATTTCTTTTTAAAAAGACTTTGAGAAGGTTGGTGTTAATTATTCTATAAATGTTTGATATCATTTATCACTGAAGCCATCTGGTCCTGGGCTTTTCTTTGTTGGTGGGTTTTTTGATTACTGATTCAATCTCCTTATTATAGTTTTATTCAGTTTTTCTATTTCTTACAAGCCATTTCTGATAGTGTCTTTCCAGAAATTTTTCTATTTCATCTAAATTATCCAGTATGTTGGCATAGTTTTTTGTAGTATTCTCTTAAAATCCTTTTAATTTCTGTAATGTTGATAATAATATCCCCTCTGTCATTTCCAATTTTAGTGCTTGGAGTTTTCTCTTTTTTTCTTTGTCAACCTAGCTAAAGATTTGTCAATTGTGTTGATCTTTTCAGAGAACCAACTTTTAGTTTGTTGTTTTTTTTTCTATTTACTATTTTGCTTATACCCTTCAATTAAACTAAACCCTTCCTTCTGTTATCTTTGGGTTTAGTTTGCTCTTCTCTTTTTTGTTCCTTAATGTGTACAGTTCTGTTATTGATTTGAGATCTTTTAAATAAATTGTAGGCATTTACAGCTATAAAATTCCCTCTGAGTGCCATCTTCATTGTACATCATAAGTTTTGTTTTATTGCATTGTCTTTTTTGTTTGTTTTATTGTGTTTTCATTCATCTCAAGGTAATTTTTAATTTCCTTTGTGACTTTTTTCTCTACCCATTAGGTTGACAGGTTATTTGTTTGTTTGTTTGTTTTTTCCTTTCAGCACTTTAAAGATTTTATGACATTGCTTTTGGCCTCCATTTTTCTGGTGAGAAATTCACTCTCATTCGTGTTTTTGTTCCCCAGTATATGTCTTTTTACTCCAGCTTTTCTTTATTTCTTTATTTTTGCTCTTCATTGATTTGATTAAAATGTTCCTACCTGGGGGAGCATGGATAGCTCAGCTGGCTAAGCTTCCAACTCTTGATTTCAGCTCAGGTCATGATCTCCTAGCCCCATGTTGTTGTTGGCACTGAGTGTGGGGCCTGCTTGGAATTCTTTCTCTCTTCCTCTCTCTGCCCCTCCCCCACTCATACTTGTGCACATGCTCTCTCTCTCTCAATAAATAAATAAACTTTTTTTTTTTTTTTTTTTTTTTTTTTTTTTACAAATGTTCCTGCTTGTAGTTTCCTTTGTATTTATCCAGATTGGAGTGTGCTGAGCTTGGGTTGGTGGGTTTATATCTTTCATCAGTTTTAGAAACCTCTTAGTAATTTTCAAATATTTCTTCTACATATTTATTTGTCTCTCCATCTTCAAGGGCTCCTGTTTAGTGCACATTAGGCCATTTGATATTGTTCCACAGAGCTTGGGCTCTCTGGGTTTCCCGATTTGGCTCTCTCTTTTCTTCTCTTTGTTTTAATTTGAATACTTTTTATTAACCTCTTGACCTATCTTGAAGTTCACTGGCATTTTCCATTGCTATGTCCAGTCTCCTGTGAAGCCTGTTTATTCAAGTCTTTATTTCTTACATTTTCCCCCATTTTCAGCATTTCCACTTAGTGGTTATTTTTCATCATTCTGTGTCTCTGCTGGAATTGTTCTGTTCTTCCTGCATTTTGTCCACATTTTACAAACTAGGTCTGTTATCATCTTTAACATAGTTTATCATAGTTATTGTAAATGCCATGCTGACCACCTTGTGGTCAGCTTATATTGACTCTTTGCTCTCTTGATCATAGGTTATTTATTTATTTATTTAACCTTTTCATGTATCTTGTATTTTTTTTTTACACACATGCTAGACATTCTGTGTGAAAGAATGGTAAGGATTGGAAAAAATGATATTTATCTTCAGAAAAGGACATGTCCTTTATGTTTTTCTCAAGCTGCTAGAGTGGGAGTTCAGTCAGTCTCATTTGTAGTTGATTTGTGTTTGAGGCTGTTATAATTTTAGTTTGATTCCATTGTACAACTGGCTTCAGATGTTTTGAGGCAAGATCAGGACTTTCCTTTGCTAGGACCCCATGTTTGAGCATTGCAGATTTTCCAAAGATGTTCTGCTGTGCTTCACAGAGTTCCAAGCCTCAGAACCGTGGAAGATCTCTTCCTGTTTTATAGCCTCATTGGTAGGTCTTTGGATTACTAGGGAGTTCTCTTTGCTCTCCAGTCCCCGCTTTCGCTTTCCATACCTTAGGAGATCATTTTCAGCCTTGTATGTCCTCCTCTGGGCTTTTGAGAGCAGGCATCCTGTGTGCTGTAATGGCTTGGTATGCTTCTGAGGTATTTCCGTCAGCTCTTCTGTCCTGATCTCAAATGTTAGAAGACTCAGTTTAGTAGATTATTGCCTATTGGTGACCAACCATGAGCTCTCTGAAGACTATGGGAAAGACTTGTCGAGTGGATTCAGTCTCCCACTGTGCTGATTTTCTTAAGATTCTAATTTGCCATGCCAGCCTACATGCAGCTATTAAAATTTTGGGTGTCTTTTATAAAGCCTATCTGTCCCGGATTCTTCCTCCTCTTGCTATTGCACCAGGAATGAAAGCAGCTGTGCACGTGTTTCTTCTCTCCTATTGAGAACTCATCACTTTCTGGCATTAGTTCATTTAGGATTCTTCCCTTCTCTCCTTGATTTTTTTTAAACTGTGGTTTTGTAGTTTATTTGGCTTTTTAGATTACTAGGGGGAGAGAGAGATGAGCTCCTTTGCAAACAGACTGGGAATAGAACATCTGAAATGTGTTCTCTTGTACTTGTTTTTCAGATTAATATATTTTGGTGGCTATGGGTGTAGGAGACACAGTGAACTCCAGGACTGTTTTGATGTTCATGATGCATCTTGGGTAAGACAGTAACCACTGTTTACATTTTCCTCAAATTTAGTATCCCCTTAAAGTCTCTAGACACAATGAGCCCAATCTTTCTCAGTTTAAATTGCCATAATTGACACTGTGGAAAAAAAATGTGTTTTCTTTCTTTTGGATTTAGATTCAGTTGAAGGAAGTTCTCTCACCTAGTGGTATTAGCCTTCATGGCTACTGGCAGAGTAATTTCTTTCATTCATCACTCACACCTGCTTCTGTTAGACAAGTGGTAACTTTAGCACAACTTGGAAAAACTTTGTTCATAGATAACCAGAATGGCTGTTGCTGATACACACCTCCTTTTAGGTATGTCCACCAGAACTATTCATAGCTCAGACTGGCCTCTGTAATGCAGTAAGTTGATAGTGACATTACCTTTCCTACATCTTACTGGTTAGAGAATAATCTATTACTAATGAAATAAGACATGACATAAAAATGAAACCTTTTAAGAGATAACTTAATTTTTTTTTAATGTTTATTTATTTTTGAGAGAGAGACAGAGACAGAGAGAGACAGAGGGGTAGGGGCAGAGAGAGAGAGGGAAATAGAATCTGAAGCAGGTCCAGGCTCCGATCTGTCAGCACAGAGCCCAATGCGGGGCTTGCACTCTTGAACTGAGAGATCATGACCTGAGCTGAAATGGGACTCTCAACCAACTAAGCCACTCAGGCGCCCCTAAAAGATAACTGTAAAAACCATTGATCCCAGGGGTGCCTGGCTGGCTCAGTCGGTGAAGCATGTGACTCTTAATCTTGGGTTTGAAAGTTCAAGCCCCATGTTGGGTATACAGATTACTTAAAAATAAAATCTTAAACTAAACCAAACCAAACAAACACAACATTGATCCCAGCACCAAGATACATAGTAACTCTTTGGTTTTACCTTCTACTAGCATATAGTATTTTTGTACATTATAATATAAATATATATGTACACTTCATGTATATGTTTTTGTATATGGGTATTTAAAAAGTTCTCTGTGTATTTCCATGGTTTTTGAGTTTTAAAATAAAATATGTGTAAAGCTTTGCTACTTATAGTATTACTGATAATTTTCAGAACTATACATCCCCATTACTTCTATCTAATTTTTTTGCTCATTTTTTTTTCTCCTCTAGTACAGGTTAGGCTAAGGATCATGTCCTGAAGTTTCTGGTGTACCAGTAGATTTTTTTCTCTTAGATTTTAAATTAAGTAAATCATTTAGTTTGTTTAATTTGTTTCACAAGTCCTGCCAAAAATGAATGATGTATTTCTGGCACAGAACATAAAACCAACACAGTGGTAAGCTAGAGTAGTAACAGAGGATTTCAACAATCCAGAGATGCTAAATATAGTATAACTGCTAAATGGGTACCTCGCTGACAGTTTTGTTTCCTAGAAGACAAAGAAGAGAGTGAGCACAAGTTTGACCTATGCGAACAAACTGCTTGGTTAAATAGAAGTGGTTGGAACTCTTTGGAAACAAGAACCATGGTCCCCTAAAGTTCCTAATTGCAAAGATTAGGAATTCTGAGCATGTACTCTAGGAAAACAGATTGCAAAATATAAATGTCATTCTGTTCTTTGCAAGTTTAAAAGGACAATCCTTGAGAGGATTGGCAGGTTATCAATGAGTAAAGTTATGATTCACTGGAAGCAATGCTATGAGAGGACAAGTTGCCAGGTGGTGGCTGTTACTGGCCTGGAGGCGACACTTTGTGAGCCACTGCTGTACGCGTTAGCTTTATGACTATGCTAATGCTTAACTCTATTTTTGTAATGGTGCCTATTATTTCACTGGTAAATATGCAATTAAATTTATAACATTAATCTAAAAATTATAAAAGCTTTTAAATATTTAAAAAAACTTCTGTTTTAGGAAGAACAGATATTCTGGGGGTGGCATAATGATGTTCATATATTTGATACAAAGACACGGAGTTGGTTCCAACCAGAAATTAAAGTAAGTATTGTAAAAAGTTACCTTTCTTTATATTGATATATCCATTGATAGTTTAAAAGGATACAGTTTTGCTAAGTTATTTGGATTTTAGCAATTGAGTTTATATTTATATATTAAGGGGGTCCCTAAGTACTGTCACTAGTAGTTTTTTTTTAATCACCTATTTTTCTCCAGGTTAGCTAAGGTTTTCTAGAAAAATCTTCTAAAGAGGGTTCCATCATCATTCTTTAGCCACAAGTGTGATGTCCTTATTTAATAATGGCACTTTTAAAATGTCCTTTCATAATGAAGTCCACAATTTTAAAAAGCCCATATTTCATAAACTCTTGAAATCTACATGCGGTTATAGCATGACAAAAAATACATTATTAACACTCTTTCAAGTGCTGGTGAACAAACACAAATTCAAGTTGGTTTAAGATATAACGAATTTTCACATGGGGAGAAGTCTGTTTTGGAGTGGCTCACACAGTGGAAGAGCTGCAAGGGCTTGAGCCTCAGGAACTTGCCCAAGTTACTCAACAGCAACAATGTTTTCCATCTCTGTTAGTTTCTCTCTGCTTCTCTTTTATATGCTAGCTCCATTCTGTCTACTGCAGACCAGCCAGCTCTTTTAGGAGGGAATATGGTCCTGGCTATCCAAACAGTCTTTTCTACTGGTGCTGTATTCTTTCAATGTCTACAAATAAGTCTTAGAAAAGGACTCTGGTTGTATTTGGGCATGTTCCCACTCTCTACATTGGTCCCTGTTGCCAAGGGGATAATTGGTTTAAGCCCAAGTCTCAGGCCTACCCTAAGGGAGCAGGATTTTGTGGCTGATGAACTCACCAGAACTGTGCAGAATGGAATGCTGAACAGGCAAAACCAAAATTGTCCACTAATATGCATATATGACATACATACATTTGAATTTTAAGATTTATGTCTTTTGTTAATGAAATAAAAGCATTTTATCTCTGTTCACATAATTATATTGGAACAAGCAAGTGCAGAGAAAATTGTTGAGAATGGATCTACTGAAACTCATCCTAGATCTTTTTCAGGCATCTGTACCCTCTATTTAGAGAAAAATCAGGGATCTATAGCTATTGAAGGCGAATTTCTAGAACATGCTCCTGTAGGGGCACCTGGCTGGCCCAGTTGATGGAGCATGCAACTCTTGGTCTCAGGATCATGAGATCAAGTTCCATGCTGGGCTGGAGCCTACTTAAAAAAACAAAAAAAAGGATGTGCTCCTGGGGATGAGGGAGCTGAGGTACTTATATTTGAACTTCAAGTCTTTCTCGGGCTCCTTCTTTCCCTTCTTACCTCAGTTCATAGCCCTCCCTTCCTGCTGTAGTAGTCTTACATGCACATGTCCCTAATTTAGTTCATATTTACCAATATTTTCACTGTAATTTCTCTGATGATTTCTTCAAATAAGTTTTTATATTATTTATATTTTATCTGAAATTTTTTCTGACATGGTTGTAGCTGGAATCCACTCTCTTCATTTTTTAGGGACACTCTTAAATTACTTTATTATTTCCAAATATCAACATCAAAAGACAAGGCAGCATGGTAGAGTGTACCAATTATTGGTGTAAAAGTTGAAAAAAATTGGAATTGCATTCTAATTCTGTCATAAAAGAGCTATGTCCTTCAGATAAGCCATGTAGTGTGTGATCTGTAAAATAGAAGGGTTGAAGGTGTTTTTCCTACATGGGATTTTTATCCCTTAAGAACAGTATGTTAGTAATTGGGATCTTTGAGTTATTTTCAGTATTTCAAGCAACTTAATAAGCATTGTGCATTATTTATGCAGTTACAGATTAATGCAGATGCCATTTCTTTGTTTTTGTTTAGAATTATGTGAACTCGTTCAGAAGCTTTAGGTGGTTATGAGATGTATTTGATAAAAATTCAATATTTGTTGCATAATAGATATGTTTATAGTAGAATAATTTTTCCAAAATTTCAGATCAGGGGTGGGGTAATAATAAAAACTATGTTTTGCTGGAATGACTGGGGACCACATTTCAGAAGGTTCTCTCTCATTTATTTAAGTGTTAAATTGGTAATATCTGAATAATTTCTTACTGTATTGGTTTCGGGACAGTGATTCAAGTAAGCCTGAAAAGTTGAGGAAATTCTGATATTGAATGTAGAGTTTAAACTTCCTGTGCCCACATTCAGTAGCCAATGTGCTGAAAATGTTGAAAAGGTTCTTTTAGAACTTGGAATGAAATGCATAAAGAAAGACTCCTACCATGAACACGTGGAAATTATGCAGAAAAATTTCCCTTAGAATCTCATTAATTCATCTACCCATTATACTCTGTCTTTACCCACGAATACAAAACTTCTCCAGAGAAAATATCTGCTGTATTTGTTCAAAGTAAAGTGTAGAAAAGTGTTATTAGTTAATGGGAAGAGTTTTAGCAAGCTACAAAGGACTGTTTGGCTTAAAGTAAGAGTGAAAGTTTTACTGTGGAATTTGAGATATCAAGAGTTTTAGGGGGGCAGATTTAATTTTTCAGAGTCTCTGAGATTATCACACTGTGCACTGCTTGCTCACAATATTACCTCAGGGGTGCGGGGGGCGGGAAAAGGGAAGTGAGGAAAGAATAGTTTAAATTTGATTTTTAAATATTTATATTTCAAGGTGAAATTTACATGAAATTTTATTTTGCCAAATAGTGTCAGGCATTTAAGAAAAACACTTTATTCATTTTTTTTAATTTTATTTTTTATTTTTTAAATTTTACATCCAAATTAGTTAGCATGTAGTGCAACAGTGATTTCAGGAGTAGATTCCTTAGTGCCCCTTACCC